GGAAAGTCACCCGCCTCTGGGGGGACAGGAGGGCTGCCCGAGGGGCCCCCGGGGCATAGAGGTCAAGCCCACAGCCAGGAGCAGCCGGGTCCGTGCCTCCCCACAGGTGCGCGCGGCCGTGCAGAAGCGGTGGCACCGGTGGCGGGACCATCACTCGCTCCGAGCCCCGGGGGCGCGGGCCATGTCCCTCCCCACCTCGCCCACTCGGATCAGCTTCCACAGCATGAAGCAGACGGCCGCCGTGTGACCGCAGTCCCCCCGCCGCCACTCCCCGCCAGCCGGCACAGCTCCCCGTCCTCCTCCACCTCCTGGGCTCTCCCTGCCCGAAGCCCAGAGGGGCAGAGGGAGGGGGACCAGCTCTCCGGCGGGACCAGGGCCAGCCAGGCCGAGCGGAGAAGTCGCAGGAACCCCGAGGAGAGCAGGACGGCGGGCCGGGGCGGCAGGCGTTGGTGCACACCAGCTCACACAGACCCTCGTGGAGGCCCCCTCACCGATGAGGAAACTGAGGCCCGGGGCCGGGAGGACCTGCCCAAGCCCCACAACTCGTTCCACTCATGGGGCGAGCCCTCCTGCCGCAGCCGGAGCCCGTTAGCCACACTCAGTGGCGCCCTCTGCAGTCGGGGGGAGGGGGGTAAAGGACTAGTTTGGGGGCTTGATCCCGGGCCCCCAGTCACGAAAGCCTGGTCTACACCACCCCTGCCCCGGCTTCCTGAAGAAGGCGGACTCCTTTCTGAGAGACCTCAGCCACGTCCATAGATGAAGGGCTTGGGGGGGAGCGGGGGCGGGAGAGAGGGGAGGGCCAGGGGCAGGGGTACAGACCAGTAAAGCACACAGTGCAGGACAAAAGGGAGAGAAGCCGGGGGACGGGCAGGGGCGAGGCGCAGGGTAGACATGGCAGAAACTGAAGTGCATCTCCTGTGATCGGAGCTAACTCCCCCCCTGAGCCTGGGCATCGGCCGCCCCTCGGACACCGCCCCAGCTCTCTGGGGAGTAAACCATGGCTCTGGAAGCAGCCCCCACAGGCGAAGGGACCAGGCAGCCGAAGGGGCGCTGTGGGCCAGGGGTGCTGGGCTGGGACCGCCCTCCCTGCAGACAGGCGCTGGCCTGGGCCGGCTCTCTCTGACCCCCGCACCGCAGGCCTGACCCTAATCACTCCCCCAGGCCAGCAGTCAGCAAACGCGTTAGTCCACAGAGCCGAATATCAGCAGCACAAAGATTGAAGTTTCTTCGGAGAGCCACATTTTTTAAACTTAAACTTCTTCTAACGCTGCTTCTTCAAAATGGACTCGCCCAGGCCGTGGTATTCTGTGGAAGAGCCACACACAAGGGGCCAAAGAGGCGCATATGGATCTCGAGCCGCGGTTTGCCCACCACAGGCCCAGGTCAATGTCTGCCCCTCCTCCCCAACCCCAGGCCGTTGGATTCAGCAGAGACGAGAGGTCCCATGCCCACCCGCACACCCTGGCCTGTCCCTGGTCTGTCCCGGAGGCCCAGGCTCTGGGATCTGGAGGGACCGGCTGACAAGGCCTGTGGTCTCCAGGAGCAACAACCCCCGGGCAGTTGCCTCGGGGTCCCGGCTCCCCGCTGCCCTGGCAGAGGGGCCCGGGGCCCAGGGGTAGGAGGAGCCATGAGGCCAGGGTTCCAAAGGGCTTTTGCTCTTGGTACATCCGCTTCACCCCATGCCCCCGCCCCTGCCCAATTTTTAAAATTGTATATGTCCTGTCTTGTGTTTTTAAGTGGACGTCTAATGTTGTTTACCTTAGATTTTAAAACACATGAGAAAGGTGATGTCTGGGACTTTAATTTGCTCGTTAAAATAAAACTGCCATAATACGTTAGAAAAGCATACAGACTCCGAGCACGATGGTGATGAAATGCCGACCCTCACCCGTCAAAAAGAAATTACAACGGCTGCTCTTGGCCGGCGGAGAGCGAACATGGCTCCTCTCCTCTCGGAACTGTGTTCCCGTCCATTCCCTCCCCGAGGGGATTTTATGCGAAGGAAGTCTTTTTACAGTCGCAAGCCTTTCACTGCTCACCTCACCCCATTCCTCTGCCACAAAACCTATTTAGAAACCGAAATAGAAATATTTAATTTCCTGTGACTGAAGGTTCTAAGGGATTTTAAAAAAAAAGAAACCTCTTCTAAATAGAATTATCAGTTATTTTTTCTATAACAGGCAGTGTGTGTGCTTGAGGAAAACAACAGGGTTGCTAAGAGTGTTTAGAAGGAATTGCTAAACCGAAAAAAGGGAAGCCATTGAAAACACATCTGAAATGGATAGGGGCCTAATTGTCGGTGAGTCTGTGGGCGGATGCTGATTGCCAGAAGGGAGCGGGCCTCAGCATCCTCTCCCCTCTTTGCGTTTTGTATAACTGCATGGGGCGGCTTTGGCACGAGAGTAAATGGTGTCGCTGGACTCTCTGCACTCGAGTGGAAGCCCAATGCGCAGCGACCTCTCCTCCCTCGGCCCGTCCGCTGGCCGCTGCAGAAGACCAACACAGGGACGGAGAAGGACCAGCCTTGCCAGGGCTTTGCTGCCCGGCAGGTGCCTGTTTAATGTCTCACCCTGGGCGCCAGCGGGGGCATGGTGCGGGGTAGGTACCAGGAGGCACCAGGGTCCATGTCCACTGGGAGGCGCTGGGATGCCCTGACTGTCCCTTCCCGAGAGAGAGACCTCGTGCGGGTCGTGGCAGGACTGTGCGCACGCAGAGGCGGCCGGTGGCCACCGTCTCTAGCATCCTGGGGGGCTGGTAGAGCCGGAGCCATCACGGCCCGGCCCCCAGAGGCCACCCCGAGAGCCCTGTGGCCGGCAGAGACCGAGGGCTCATCGGAGGAGCCACCAGAACTCAGGCCTCCGCAGAGCCTCAGCGCCAAGACCGGACACGCATCCTCCTCCTCAGATGCCGGCCCATCACCCGCCCGCCTGCTGCCTGGAGGCCTGTCCCGAAGGCAGCAGTCTCCAGCCCGGGTTTTTGGCTTTTTGTTAAGCCTCTCTGGAGGCTACTTCCATGGATTTTTAGAGAGAGTGGAAGGGGAAGGGGAAAGAGAGAGAGAAAAAGAGGAACATCGATGAAAGAGAGACACACCGATGGGTAGCCTCCTACGGGACCAGGTATGTGCCCTCGAGCAGAAAGCAAACTTGCCAGCCTTCCGTGTTCGGGCTGACGCTCTAACCCACATGTGTCAAACACAAGGCCCGCGGGCCAAATCCGTCCCGCCAGGCCTTGCAATGTGGCCCGCACCGCGCTGTCATCACTGCACTCCGCTGCGTTTCCATCACAATGACAGTTTATGACTGTTCAGTAAACCATTCGGCCTGCGATTTAGGCTGGATTTTAGATTTTGGCCCCTTCTCTGATTGAGTTCGACACCCCTACACCAGTGAGCCAGGGCTCCACCCTGTTTTCAGCAGGAGCTTGCCCCGCCCCCCCTCCAGTTTGGTCCCATACTGACCCTCCATCTCCTCATTACGGGGTGGGGGAGTTCCTGGTTACGGTCCCTGCTGAACTCTGGCCTTGACATGCCACCAGGCCTTTAGGCCCCGCCTCCCCCACACGTTGGCCTCAGTGAGCACCTGTTCTGGCAGCCCGGCCCATCCGCACCCGGGAGGAGCCCTAGAAGGGCAGCCGGCCTTTCCTAGGTGGCCACCAGAGCTGGCCAACCAGACAGACCACAGGCGCAGAGCGCCCAGCGGCCTGGTCGCTTTGCAGAGACGATCCCTCCCCGGCTCCATGCCCACCACCAGCAGAGCCGAGGCCAGGCCCCGACCCCTCCGCTGCCCACGTGGACAGCAAACTGGGGGAGGAAAGCCTCCGACAGCCCGCCGAGATGCCGCTGCAGGCGTCCATGGAGCCACCCCTCCCTCCAGGGGCCCACGCGGCTGGATTCGCCTTCACTCCGCCCTCATCGAGGCCAGTGACTGTCACCTGGTGTGGGGACCAGCCCCCCTTCCTTCTCACAGGAGAACCATCAAGCATGTGGGCCCCCCGTTTAAGCCCCACACTTGTTGGCGGGCACAGGAGGGGCCACGGATGGTCGCTGGAGCCAGCTGGGCAAAGGGTCCACGTTCGCGCTGTGGCCGAGCAGAGGGCCGGCAGGCAGCTCCGAGCCCAGCTGGGTAGCGGCTATGGGACAGATGAGAGCAGCCATGGGCAGGAGAAGCAGTTCTTGCTGCAGGAGGAAGTGGCCCTCAGCTGCCGCTGTGCACACAGCACAGTGATTAACCGTGCTGCTTGGTTCGCTGTGCGGGGCAGCGAGCGAGTCCCCTCGGCTCACGGGGCCCAGAGCTGATCAGCAATCCAGCGTCATGGCCCCCGGAGGCCCCTCTGCCCAAGAAGCCGGAGCACCCAGCCTGTCCTCTCACTCCTCCCCGACCTGGCTCCCCTGTCCTCTGGGGAAGGCTGGTGTCGGGCCAGAATCACCCGCCACCGCCGCCCCCCCCTTCCTCTTTCCGTTGGACCCAAATACCTCGTCCTCCTGCACTACGGAGCCACACCCCGAGTTCCTGAGCCACGGACGCCCCAGCCACGTCTCCCAGCCCTCAGTCCTCAGGAGAAACACCTGCTGGCTCCCCCTCCCGCGGCACTGCAGACGCAAGCAGGCCTTCCCAGCTGCAGGCACAGGAGGAAGAGGCCCCTCCGTGGAAACGATGGGTTCCTTTCCTTAGAAAAATATAAACGTCTGAAATGTAAAAATGGCGTGTTAAATGGTGCACGGAGTTCCTGCAGAAACCCCCAAAGGAGCCAGGGAGCCAGGTTTAAGAGCCAACGCCCGCGGGAGAAGGAAATACGCTCTAACGTGGCTCACACGTATTCCCAGTTGGCGGCGTGGGGCCGCCTGTGTATCAGGAGCCCAGGCGGGCGGCTTAAGCCTCTGGGTTTGTGAGCCCACTCCAGGCCTGAAACGGGAGGGTCCTGGGAGCCACCGGCACACACTGTGCCCCCCACCCTGCCCTGGGGCAATGCGCCTTTCCAGGCCCGCTCTCCTGGGTGGATACAAGCCTGGGTCTGTGAACCGCTTGGAGGCAGGACCTCGTGGGTCCCAGCCCAGAACCGCGAGTACTGGGGAAATATTGGGGTTCCAAGGCAGGTCTCATCTGAACAAAGGGTTTTAAAAGCATAGGACGGACAATTGTAGTGCCTGGGGGGTAGGAAATCGACTTCTAAGTGAGAGACCTTCTCTAGAAGCACAGTAGAAAGAAACAAGACTGATCACAGTTGGTGCACACAGTAGGTCCAGGTGTATCAGGGTCACAGTTGGTGCACACAGTAGGTTCAGGTATATCAGGGTCACAGTTGGTACACAGTACGTCCAGGTGTATCAGGGTTACAGTGCACACAGTAGGTCCAGGTGTATCAGGGTCACAGTTGGTGCACACAGTAGGTCCGGTGTATCAGGGTCACAGTTGGTGCACACAGTAGGTCCAGGTGTATCAGGGTTACAGTGCACACAGTAGGTCCAGGTGTATCGGGGTGGTGGCCTGGTTCTGAACACTGACTGGAAGTGGAGCTGATGACTTGGATGTGGCCTGTGAGAGAAGTCGGGGCTGGCTTTGGAGTTGTCATGAACCGAGGGGACAGCTAAAGGGAGCGTGCCAACTCGCAAGCTTGCTTCAGAATTTTTTTCAGAAAAATGGAAGATCTGGTCTCAGGTTTAAAAAGACCGTTGATAAAGATTTTTTAAAGCTTGTCAGTGTTTTTCCCCTTCCCACAATGTCATCTCACTATCAATTAGCTCCCACTCAGATGCAGAGCAGTGGGTGTTGATGAGCCGAGAAAAGCTCTCTAATTAGAGAAAGTGGTTTTAGTTAGCACAGCTAATTGTTGGTGATTGATTTTTAGGGCCTAACGAGGGCAGGCACTGGCTGGAAAAATTCTATGCCGGTCACTTCTGCACCAAGGCCTGGCCCTGAACGAGGGGCAGAGAGCTGTGGCTCCTGGGGAGAGGAGCCAGCCTCAAGCTTATGAAACAACAGGCTGTGGCGGGAACCAAGGCAGGGAGGGTCAGCACGGGCCATGCCAGCTGGATTCTAGAAGAATCAGGACTGGGATCCACTATTTCCAGCACGGAGCTCCCCAAACCCTCTGTTCTTCAGCCCCACCGCCCCATCCAACAGAATCACGGCGGGGTCAGTCCAGCTGGGAAACTACACTCCCACGCTCACCCACCACCTCACACCTGCCTGCCTAATCGTCTCAGGAAGCACGAGGCTCGTATAGATGCATCATCTCAAAGGGAAGCCCTTCGGGAGAGCTGTGGTCCAGCATTTGCTCATGGCAAGAAAGTTCCCCGTGGGCAAGGGTGGGAAACACTGGGCAGAAGCGCCCACAGCTCCCGGTGGCTACACCCTCCGGCCCCCGCACGCACAATCCACCCAATGAGGCTCCCGGAGCGCCAACGGCCAGGGCGCGTGTGTGGATTCCAGGGGCCCCCTTCTCTTTGAAATTGCACATGACCCAGAGCGATGCCTCTCCATCCAGTGTCCAGGGCTGTGTTTCTGCAACGTCCTCACTGGCCAGCACCAAATGGCGTTGGGTTTACACACACACACACACACACACACTCTCACACACTCACACACTCACACACACACACTCTCTCTCACACATACAGCCAGCAATGTTCCCTTAACACAGATCCCGCCAGCCCGCTGGGCCTAAACAGATCCCACACCTGCGATGGTGGAGGGCCTTTCTCTTCTCTTTTTAACTGAGGACACAAAGTCTCTGTCACGAAAAGGACAGTCCGCTCTAGGTTACGCCAGTGGCAGTACCGCGCCTGGAGTCAGAGCCCAATTCCCCTGTGAACAAGTCTGTCTCCATCACCGGCCGTTTAATTAAATTATAACACCTGCCTCGCCTGCAGGAAGTGACGAAAATGGGAAACGAAAATGGCTGTGGATTCTGAACCCAAGTATTAACCAGCACTGAGAAGCTGGCCCAGGAGGAGCCCCCCGCCCACCAGCTCTGTGGGAACTCCAGGGAGCGAGAGGGACGACAGATTCCTCAGCCACCTCATGGACAGACTGACTACACACTGAATGCATTCTACTCAACCCGCTTCAGAAAAGGAGACAGACCCTCCGGGAGAGGACAGGGGACCGAGGGTCTCATGTGACAAACCAGCTCTCCCCTCTCCTAGCCAGGGCCCTGCCTCAGTCATTTCCTAACTGCAGCTCTGCACGTCTCTGCTCTGACTGCAGGGCCGCGGGCGCAGCGCCCGGACACCTGCCGCACCTGGCCGAGCGCACCTGCCATGGCTGCACGGGTGATGCCTAAACAGCCTTTGTAAATCTCCAGGCAGGTTGGGTGCCCGGGAAGGACCTCCGGGTGCCAAGGAAGACCGTGTGTGCTTGTGGAAACTACCCAAAGTGGCTGATGCTGAGCAGTGGACAAGAGGCAGAAGTAGGAAAATGGAGGAGAGGAGAGGAGGGGAGGGAAGGGGAAGGGAGGAGAGGAGAGGAGGAGGGGAGGGGAGGGGAGGGGAGGGAGGAGGAGAGGAGAGGAGGAGGGAAGGGAGGGAGGGAGGGGAGGGAGGGGAGGAGGGGAGAGAGGAGGGGAGGGGAGGGGAGGGGAGGAGAGGGAGGGGAGGGAGGGGAGAGGGGAGGGGAGTGGAGGGGGGAGGGGAAAGGAGGAGGGGAGGGAGGGGAGGGGAGGGGGGGAGGGGAGGGGAGGGAGGTGAGGGGAGGAAACAGACAGAAACGGGGTGCAGTGGCCTGTGAATAGTCTTCTTGCCCCTTCTCCGGGGTCCTCTCCAGAGTTAGCCTCCCGCTCCCAGAGGAGACATCTGCAGACACAGCGCCTCCTGAAACAAGAGGCTGGGGAGACTTCCTAGCCCGGCTGAGAAGCTGCTTTGCCAACTGCAAGGTGTGGGATGAGAGGAAAGGCCTCGAGTTGTCAGCCAGCTTAGGGACAAGGAAGTGCTTCCTGAGGGCAAGAAACTGTCAGCCTGTGACAGGGGCTGTGGCAGCCAGGCAGGGAGGACAGTGAGAGGGGCTGCGGGGGCCGGGCAGGGAGGACAGTGACGGGGGCTGTGGGAGCCGGGCAGGGAGGACAGTGACAGGGGCTGTGGGGGCCGGGCAGGGAGGACAGTGATGGGGACTGTGGGGGCCGGGCAGGGAGGACAGTGAGAGGGGCTGCCGGGGCCGGGCAGGGAGGACAGTGAGAGGGGCTGCGGGGGCCGGGCAGGGAGGACAGTAGTGGGGACTGTGGGGGCCGGGCAGTGAGGACAGTGATGGGGGCTGTGGGGGCCGGGCAGAGAGGACAGTGATGGGGACTGTGGGGGCCGGGCAGGGAGGACAGTGAGAGGGGCTGCGGGGGCCGAGCAGGGAGGACAGTGATGGGGACTGTGGGGGCCGGGCAGGGAGGACAGTGAGAGGGGCTGCGGGGGCCGGGCAGGGAGGACAGTGAGAGGGGCTGCGGGGGCCGGGCAGGGAGGACAGTGAGAGGGGCTGTGGGGGCCGGGCAGGGAGGACAGTGAGAGGGGCTGTGGGGGCCGGGCAGGGAGGACAGTGATGGGGACTGTGGGGGCCGGGCAGGGAGGACAGTGAGAGGGGCTGCGGGGGCCGGGCAGGGAGGACAGTGATGGGGACTGTGGGGGCCGGGCAGGGAGGACAGTGAGAGGGGCTGCGGGAGCCGGGCAGGGAGGACAGTGGTGGGGACTGTGGGGGCCGGGCAGTGAGGACAGTGATGGGGACTGTGGGGGCCGGGCAGAGAGGACAGTGACGGGGGCTGTGGGGGCCGGGCAGAGAGGACAGTGACGGGGGCTGTGGGGGCCGGGCAGAGAGGACAGTGACGGGGACTGTGGGGGCCGGGCAGGGAGGACAGTGAGAGGGGCTGCGGGGGCCGGGCAGGGAGGACAGTGAGAGGGGCTGCGGGGGCCGGGCAGGGAGGACAGTGAGAGGGGCTGCGGGGGCCGGGCAGGGAGGACAGTGATGGGGACTGTGGGGGCCGGGCAGGGAGGACAGTGATGGGGACTGTGGGGGCCGGGCAGGGAGGACAGTGATGGGGACTGTGGGGGCCGGGCAGGGAGGACAGTGACGGGGGCTGTGGGGGCCGGGCAGAGAGGACAGTGACGGGGGCTGTGGGGGCCGGGCAGGGAGGACAGTGAGAGGGGCTGCGGGGGCCGGGCAGGGAGGACAGTGACGGCGGGAAAGAGTTGGCAGCTTCTCCCCGAGCACCGTCCCTCCACACCTCCTGCCTGTCCTCCGCCACAAAGCCAACCCAAGGCTCAAGCCAAGCCCGCATATGAGGAGTGGGAGGACACATGGCACCCACACTCCCCTCAGCTGCTCACCTGGAGCCCCCTTTTCTAACGGGAGGTTCTTAGAGCTTCGCGGCACCCTTTCTCAAGGCCTCTTCAACCCTGCACCATCGTGTGCTTGAACTTGGTTCCCTGCCCCCTGAGCAGGCTCAGCTCCCTCTGCTGTTGTGGATGGATGACAGCTGTGATCCTTCTGCTGCTGCAAAGGTTACCCAAGAGCCTTCCGGCTGGGAGCACTCCGGTGCAGCCTCCTCAACGTCCCCGGGAACAGCAGGCCGGGCTCCTGGGCCGAGAGGAATTCACTTCACACTGCGCAAGGGAAGCAGGGCATGCTTGGGGTCCATGAGGGCACATGCACGGTCATCTCAGCAGAGCATGCATGTCAAACTCTCGGCCGGCGGGCCACATGCCTCCTCATGGCCTGCGAGTTTGACATGCCTGCAAAAGAGCAGTACAAAAGCAACGCCCTCTAACCTCATCTTCTCTGGACCCTATGGTATTGACAACTTGACCCCTATTGTCAGAAGACACCCCTCGTTCGGCAGACCTTTCCCTATTCTGAGGGTGGGGGCGGGGGCTCTTTCTGGCTCAGGCTGAGGCATCCACGGTGGCATGGTTCTCCCAACACGCTTTCCAAATACCGCTGATGCCAGCCCCACCCTGCAGATGCTCATGAACCTGGGCTGAGCGGGCAGACAGCACTGTCCCGGCACCTGTCACCGCTGCCCCAGGTGACAAGGGCGTGTCCAGTACCTGCAGGGAAGATGCCCTTCCAGCCGGCAGAACAGCCATCACAGCGGGAGAGCCACGGGCTGCTTCTCAGGCCGTTCCCGCCGCAGCTCCCAACCATATCCCTGCTTCCGGAAGAGACATGACCTCCATCCACGTGGTCTTAACACAATTACTGCTTCGAGGCAGCGCAATTACCAAGAATTATTGGAGAGGCAGCAAGAGGTGAGTTTTGAGGCGCAGCAGAATTATTCATCTGTTCTTTTACTGCAATTAATTTCTGTGGTGTTGGCCAAATGCCAAAAACAAAAACCTAACACAAAAACCCTGCCTTCATCACAGACTATCAGCAGAGATGCTGGTGCCAGGATCTTGAGTAGGAGCAATGCTATCAAAACCTCTCATCCTCCCCCACTCAAGAGATCCAGAGTAAGACATCCCTGGTGATAGGAGGCTCACTGCAATGCAGAGAAATCCAGAGATAATTTAGATTTATTTCCAAGGCTTCTGGTTCTCTCGTGAGTAGATTCCACGGACTAAGACAGTCACTGCCACCACCCTAAGTTTGTGCTGGTTAAGGGGACAGTAAAGAAAGCTCTAGAACAAACCTATCGATATTTCAAGGGATTTATTAAAGAACATTCACAAGTGGTTGTCGCCATGAACTTTGGACATCCCACATCGCTGGTACAGCCTC